ATGAGCCTTTCTGCCCTGCTGCTCTCACTCGACCATGCAAACTGAGCCTAATGTAAATTGCCCTGCCAAACTTTAAGCTAAATGGTAAAATGATCCTGAGTCCTTGTCACCTCCACTCATGTCATTGACTTGCTGAAGTGTGCCTCAGTTGTCTGGGCTGCATGGCTGGTTCCCATTACTCCCTGCTCGAACCAATCAGCACAGACGGCCGCTGAGAGAGGCTGAAATGGTTGTGCCGGGTTGAAGATGGTGAAGGAACTAAAGGGCAGGAGATGGGAGTGACAAAATCTCAGAAGCCAGTGCGATCACACCTTTAATGTTGGTCCTACTCGGGATGATGGTCTTAAACTGCTTCTGCAGGGAATTAAATATTTACGCTTGCAGGGCAGCAGAACTGGATCAAATTCTCACTTTGCCCGAAAAAATAAATTATGGTTAAAGCTGTGATCAACAGCAACCTTTTAATGTCTTGAAATTACAACAGCAGTTTGTAATTGTTGCAAAGATGTCATTATCCTGCACATCTCAGTCACTGTAAAAAAAAAAAAAAAGTGATAAAAGGCAGGATCCCACTATAATTAGGCCTACAATTCAACATCAGTGCAACAACAAAGTAACAACATTTGCCTTATTGGTGTAGTTAAACGTTTACTGTATAAAACTGGACTCCACATGTTGCAAAGTGCTCTACTTTGACACCAGAGAGTTTCAAACAGGGGGTTTGAATGGATTTTCTCTGCTGCGTGCAGGGAAATTCACCCTGCCCTCCAAACAGACAAGGGCAGGCAAGCCAAGCTAAAGGTCAGCACCCTCAGACACTGAGAGAAGACACAAACACATCAAAAGAGGAAGTGTGTTGTCTCTGGAGGATCAAAAAGGCGTGTAGGTGAGACTGATAAAATTAAATTAGTTAAAATAAAAGTCCCTCAGCAGTTTGACCATTTTTATGTTGATTTTTTTTTAATCGTTCAGTGGCCAGCATTACTTATTTAATAAACCTAAAAACATGTCTTTGACTTAAGTATAATTTTGAGGCCTTTACTTTAGTTGATTTACACATGATAAATATTGTACTTTTTACTTCACTGCATTTATTTGGCAGCTGCAGTGGAGTGCCTTTGCAGATTTGGATTTTAAATGCAAAAGATATCATCATCTTATAAAATATGTTGTGGTGTTATTTTATCTTATGGTGTTTATTTTAGTCATACAAAGTTGTTATTTATTCTAGTCTCTTGTTTATCGTAAATCTGTTTTACCTACTTGTGATTTCCATTTATTTTTTTCATTTGTTTTTTGTATCTTGCATTGTCCTCATGCATTTTATCTTTATGGTGGTGTTACGTGCCCTTTTTTCACGCTGTGTTTATTTATCTTTTGTAAAGCACTTTGTACTTTTGTTTGATAAGTGCTATATAAATAAATAAATGAAATTAGCCAGTGTTATATTAACATATATAAACATTTTACATTTTACTGATAGCATTTCTGTACTTAAACTAAAGTTAAATCTTAAATAAAGGACTTTTATTTGTGATAAAGTAGTTTTACATTGTTTTATTATTAGTTCAACTATGGGAAAGGATCTTAAAACTTCTTTCTCCGCTGTTAAATTTGTTATTTTTGCCTCTTTAAGCCTGTAACTCTACTGTTGTTGTAAGGCTACCTAGAAACAGTCTCTGCCTGTGCTGAAAGCTGATGCTCTAAGAGCTGCCTTGTTGATTTCATGTAACAACATGATTGGCAGTGTGTTGAGTAGAAACAATAACTGTGTTTGTAGTGAATCTAATGTATGTAAATGGTTATTAGACAGACATGCTGTTTTCTATGGCCAAAAAATGTCAGAGTTATAGTTGGCAGCCTGCCCTTCAGACAGCTCTGAGACCAGTCATCACATCACCTTTGACTGAATGGATCAAGCCACAAATTATAACAACAAAGCCATTCTCTGCCTATCGGAAACAGCCCTGCTATTGTGCAAAATACAGGTTTCATAAAAGAAATGAGCCAGGAAGTAAAATACACCAGCATTTTCCAATAAACACATCAGGAATCATTTATCATTTTTCTCCTCAGCTAGTAAGTTCGGCATATTTTACTGCTGCCTTCAATTTATATCCAGTCAGTGGTGCAGAAGTCAGTAAAAAGATGGGTTAACTAGAACCTTCAGTCACTGAGAATCACAAGGAAAACAATGAATTTCGATCTAGTTTTTTTTAAAGCCTCAATCTTCGCACATTTACGTGTCAATATAAATTTAATTTTTAAATTACATCGGAGAGAAAGTAACAAAACATAAATTCTACAAATGTAAAAACAGGATCTCTCCTGTTCCAAGAGTTAAATGAAGTTTTCTTTCTGAGGGGCCAAGTCAAAGGCAAACAGAGAAGTTGACATCTGAGTCGCATTAATTTCAGAGCTCTTCTTGTCTATAGAGCCGAGATGTTTTTTCCTGCTTTCTTTTGCACTGTGAATCCCGTCATTATATTTAAGGCTCCTTGAAGTGTCTGGCCTGCCAGTAAACCTGACAGTCTGCGCGTGCATATTTCACTCTAAAAGTCTAACCGTGATATTAAAATGAAAAACACAAACAAAAATAGTAGGCTATAAATAAGTCGAGAAATTAAATTAAATTTTTATGTAATTTCACTAACTTACCCTTCATGAGGACGCAGCAAACATGATCGCACCATTTCTCCCTTCAGGTTAAGCATTAAGATAAATAAATAAATTGCAGGAAACGGAGGGTTTTTTTTATAGTTTGAACTAAAATTGTAATTTACTCACAGCCTAATAGCTGCGGTTTATTTACAACACATTATAAAATCTGGGTTTACCGGATGTCAAAGTTAATAGGTAATAAAAACTTAACAGTCATAATAAAAGAAGTATGAGCTTTTGAAAAGATTGATCTCCGTTCTTGACATTTTGGAGCTGTAAATTTTTTTTTTCTGCAGGCCGATTTCCAGAAACTGTCAAAACATCCTTAAACTGCTTCCATTAAACATTTCAGTGTAATACTGATCGACAAGCAGCTCGTGCACATCAACGAAGAAGGACCGACGACTTCTTGCGTAAAAGCGTAGTGGTGGAAGGCCAAAAAACGTATTACTAAATTATATATTATATATTATTGTCTTTTCACTCTCTGATATATTCGCTCCCTGATATTATTAAAATGATGATTTAAATAATTTTTGGGGGTTGCATACACGAATCACACACAGTTGTCCAAATATAACTGTATGTCCATTCACATGTACGTATCTCATCTTGTGTATATTTTGTTTTCGCAATAGGCCTATATTAAACATGATTATTTTGTTTGCCCGTTTACAACAAAGTTCTTAAAAATATGAGATTATTTTCACATGTTTAAGGTATTTAAAACTAATTGTGTACACTTTGTAAGCAGAGAGAGAGAGAGAGAGAGAGAGAGAGAGAGAGAGGCTTTCTGACTTTATTGAAGTCCAGAATGCTTCTATTGTGCTCGTTACCTAAAAAACTAAATTAAAATTCAGACCTGATCTCAATTCAACGTAAAAAAAAAAAAAAAAGTAGACTTAAGACTCGCAGAATTGAATAAAAAGGTAGCAGTGTTTGATATTTGAGCCTGAAAGGTACAATACACACTAGATGATAGGGTATTTAACTCTTCAACAATTTTTCTTTTGTGTGTTGTGTTTCTTTGTCTCCTTATTTCTGTCGCTTTATTCTTTCCAAGTTGTGGCCCATAGATGGACACTACTGACTACATTAAATCTGGATTAAAAATTTTAATTACTGTCATGATATCAAAGGTTAGTCTTCTTTTGTGTGTGTGTGTGTATGTGTGTGTGTGTGTGTGTGTGTGTGTGTGTGTGTGTGTGTGTGTGTGTGTGTGCTGTATGAGCAGGCAGGGATGCAGTTGAGGGCAAACCAGTTAAATGCGGGTTGTCTGTGTTTTAATTTAACAAAAGCACTGAATGCTTCTTTTTGGATGACAAATATTGATACTCCAGTTTTCATACCGTGTGTGTTTCAGGTGAGAGGGTGGGGTGGGGGAATTAATAACGAATTAATGCTGCTTGAAAGTTGCGATTGCCTAACGAAGGTCAAAGTTTGATTTACACCCTCTTCATTCACCCATTACAGAAGTGTTCCCATGCAATTAAATCTAATTGGAGCCAATCAGGCAGAGCAATGAAATGAAAATATTATCAGTTTGGAGCTAACTATTTGTGCCATCTGAAAACTTGTTAATTCAATTGTCCGACTCAGCTCCAATATTAAGGATTGTAATGCAGATTATCGCATTAAATGCGCTCTAATTTAATTTTGATGGCCAAAGGGACAATTTGATAGTCGGGAAGATTATGCCTCTTCTTAACTGTGTTACGCACATAACTACTACAGGCCATGCCTGGGATGTCCATTGCTGCTGCTGCTGGAGAAAAAACGTTTGCTGATGTTATTTACACACTCTTGGGGGTTTTTTACAGGAGACCGGAAGAAGAAAACAAAACAAATGACAGTTTTTAAATGCACCAAACCCGTTGAAACAGTTTTGGACATGTAATGTTTATCAGTCAGAGAGTGAAAATACAATTTCGGATCAAATGCGTCATGACATATCTGAGTTCTGTCAGTTCACTCACGGAACCACAATGGCCCTTTTACGCATGTGTGCCATGCACTGCGATCGAAACGTCCAAACCACTTGGGCTACATCTGCGGGTTTTGTGGGAACAAATGATGAACGATGACAAGTTAACAGATATCTGCACAGGTACAGGAAATTACCAGACACAAAACAACTGCACGGAGAAAACATCCTCATGATACATTTCTGCTTATATTTCCGTGATAATTCCTCCCCTTTATAACAACAACAACTCAACAAACTCAGTTCTGGACTCGTGTTTTGTCTTTGGGAAGCCTCACCTTGCCAAGTGGACCGTGGCCGGACGCCTGGAAGTCAATCTTGTGAAAGTTTGTTTTTTGTTTTTTTCTCCACTCACCATAGTACGGGATGAGCGCTCCGTTGTGTCCGCTCTCCTGGTGCAGTTTGCCCTCCTCGGGTGGTGTTTTGCAAGAAGACCTCTGCATGAAGAGGTGGTATTTGCTGAAAGTGCCTTGCCCAGCTGCGGCGGCATCCAATGACTGGCACTCCTGCTGGAAGGGGCTCCGGGACCTTTCTCCGTAAGCCTGACCTTTGTTGGGCAGGAAGGCAGTGGGGCTGTATTTGGTGTCAGTGAATGGGAATGTTCTAAAGTGGTCCGTCTGGTGATCCCTACCTTGCGCTACAGAGGGGCTATAATACGAATCCATGGATGTCATATCGCTGTATGAAACGCAGGTCTCGGCGTTCATGCCTAAAAAAGAGTCAAGGGGAGAAAAAGACCAATTTTTTCTCTTTCTCTCTCTCTCTCTCTCTCTCTCTCTCTCTCTCTCCTCTCTCTCTCTCTCGGCAAGGGAAGCGCAGACACCCCCCCCCCCTTCCTCTACCTCATACAGATGAGCATACACACACACACACACACACACACACATGCACGCATAGACTGCAGCATACACCAGACCGCAGCTGGGTTTGGTTATAAAACGATTCAGATCTTTTCCAGGAACCACTGTCGTTGACCAAACACTCCAAACTCCCCTTCAGGTTTGAGGAGAGTTACACAAACCCGTCTTTCCTCAGAGGATGGGACCCAGATCTCCAGGCTTCAGGACCTTTCCTAAGTGATTATGCTGATGACATGAACGAGTTAGGTCGTTTATTAGCTGTGTGTGTGTGTGTGTGTGTGGGGGGGGGGGGGGTGTTGCAAAATAGGGCGGGGGGCTTAACACATGACATTAATGCAATTTGGATATGAATATAGCCCATGAGTGATGGCACTGGGGCGGAGAGGGCACAATTTCACGCTTCATTCGCAGTGGTTCATCAAAGCCAAATCATCCATACTCGGCCGATTGTGCTCCTACAGCCAACGCTGTGGCTTCTGAATAAAACTGGTAGCCTACTTAGTTTATCAGAGCCTTAATTATCACTTGAAACGAATTTTAAGTCACTTGTATCCTTTTCATTTTGTATTCACCCATAGTGAAACATTTTGATGTGTCACGAAAAGGTAAACGTGAAGAACGAATGACCTTGAATGCATCGTGGTTGTATGTAGGCTAAATAAAGGTGGATTGAAATACATATAAAATAATAATGACATCACAAGATCATGTGCATTATCAATTTCGTATCTTTAATTTTTTCAACAGATTTGGTTTGAGAAAAACAGCCAACTTGCAATGACTGCAAATATTGCAAGATCTCAATTTCAAATTGTGATACAGGTGGTATATGTGTAAGCCTATGATATAATCTTTGTTAGGTGAGACGATATAGCCTATCCCATTTTACAGTACAACCGCCTGTTGTTTTCTCCCTGCAGTGAGCTTTGTACATCCTGTTTTCATATTTGCAGCCATTTAAGAAAGACCACCTGATCTGCAGTAAGTTGCTTAGAGCCTAAACACCGTTATTCATTTGGAGACAATACTGCAGGTCAGTCCGCAGTAGAAAAACCCGCAACAATAACAATGGAGTTTTTTTTAGAGGCCCTGTGTATTGTATTGCTTAAAGGCTACTGAGGCCACTGCAATTACCGTACTTAACATTAGAGACATGATATAGACTAGTTATTTCCCGTCAAGGTGTTTGCTCTTTTTAGTAGCTTAGAGAATCCTACACCTGAGCAATAAGAACGTCCTGAAGCCTTATTGAGTTTGATCCATAATAGTTAATTATTTACCATTACCTCCATGAAACAATCAAGTCCTTAATAAGCCCTTAAAACAATAGACTTAAAATTAGCTACAATTTAATTTCAACACAGCTCAATACAGTACCATTTAATTCAAAATAAAGCAGTCTCTTGTCAGCACAATTAAGGCTCCCATAAAAAAAAACTAACTATGCATGCAAGAAAACACACTCCTTTATTTATTTGTGTCATTTCACTTTCATGTGAATTGCTTTCTAATATGCTAAATTTTATATTTGATATTGCTATTATGTGCTTCTGTTAGGGCAGCATTTCTTACAATTAGTCTGCTAAAATTAAAATTGTATTTTACCCATTTTGCTGGATCCTTTCCTCTCATGCGCAAGCTGAAACAATGGGATCAGTGAAATAAATATGTACCACTTTAAACAATTACCCCATGGTTTATAACAGGCAGCCCATATTCACAATCTTCTATTTTTAGTAAATGTGTTTGCTGACACAGTTATCTATGTTTTGAATAGTGCATTGAGATCTAATATAAATAAGTACCGAACCTGATGTAACTTTGAATGTGTTTTCGGAAACATAATCTAGAACTTTTTACTTTTTAGTATTCAACAAAAATAAGAGATAAACAACACGCAGTTTGGTCTATCTTGCATCTATGCAGCAGGTGTGACCATCACTGCCCTTTTTCAAGCTCTGTGAGATGGAAAAATGAGAAGTGTAGGATGAGCTGGGCACACTCACAGAGCTTAGAAGCAACCAGCAGAAAAAGTGAAAGACTCACAGCTAACAGCTATATATGTAGCGTGCACATATACTGTAACAAACATATTCATACAGTCATGCACACATTGTGGACACATGCACACGTGCAAACACATGTGTGAGAGAAAAAAAAGAAAGCAACTGAGAGAAGGAGGACAGAAATCTGCTCCATTTACATGATTGGATTTCAAATGAAGTCCATCAGGCTGGAAGGTGTCTATGCTTGTACGTCTGATGCAGTGTTCATGCTCTGAAGAAACTGGCTCACACTCAGCTGTAAACTGACTGTCTCGAGGGGAAACGATGAAATGACTTTACAACAGTTTATCTTTCATCCAATACAGTCAAACAAATATCTCATTACTTTGAACTCACTCTTCTCACTCAAGTCTTCTTCACTCTGGCAGTGAACCAGACTTAATGATTACTTAGCCCGATTTTCAACCTGCAGGAACAGAATACTTCTGTCTGTGCTATTCTTAGTATTGAGCAAATGTTAGGTAATGATTTTGTAATGTAATAACGTCACAGCTTTTGCACAAATTTACCTTTTCAGAGAGAGGACACTGCATGTGTGATTTCTACAGTGCAAATCATTGATGCTTTATGTTTGCTGCATTTTTCTGGTGAGGTCTTTTTACATATTTAAGGACTTCTTGGTCATCACAAGCACCAGAACTGAAAGGTCATTAATTAATCATTTTATAGATAAAAAAGTTGCATGTGTGGTATTCAGCAGGAAGCATAATGGACACCAGCAGGACTCAAAATGCTATATGTGCCCGAATATTTGTCTCTAGTGTAGATCCAGGAATTCTGCAACTTCTGTCAATAAAGACGGAACATGTTTTATATTTTCATTGCATGTTTAGAGTGTGGTTCATGCTTTGGCCACAAGCATGATTTGATCTCTTTTTATTTCACAAGCGAAAGTGTCCCCAGTTTGACTAACTGTAATTGCTTTATTATAAGAACCTTGCACAATCTCTCTCTTATCTTTTATTTTCACAGGTTGTCAGAGTGAGAGTGAGATGGACCATTTGGCCCAGTGAGTGAAAGCTTCCCCTTAACGGTAGGCCTGCCTGCAATGAATAAAAGAGCATTAAAACACACACACCAGATGCATTCATGTGTGCAAACACAAAGGAGAAAAAAAGCACTGGCATCATATTTAACTTCCAGAAACACAAGTTACTTCTGTCTTTATAAAGTATGATATTTGGCCAAGTTCCATTGAAAGAAGATCACAATTGATGACAGACATTGAATATTTAAATTTACTGACCGCATGCGATTATGAGTCAAATAAAACTTTTTACTTGACTGTTTTTATTCTCCTGTAGAGAGACAAATCTAAATCTTCCACAAGATGACAGTCCCTAGATGATAAAACATTCATTTGATGAAATCTATAATATATTTTATTACATTTTATTATATAGACAAATATATTCATTGGCAGCAGAAAGACAACTGCTTTGGGATGAGGACTAAGTTTTTCTTTACTTTTTATACTTTTATTTTTTATATGAATACATTTTCAGTGATTTTCAGTATTTTTGGATTTCAATAGGAAAATGCAAGAAAAAAAAAGGAATCTTTCACTTTAAAATCCATACCTGTTGTTAATTACATATGCATGTGGAAAGTCTGGTTAGAGCTCACAATCTATAAAGGAAGTTTAAGTTAAGGACTGATACAAAGCAAAATAGAAAATGTCAGCAGTTGGCAGCTTCTTCTTAAATATTTCTCTTTGCCGGATACATCTAAACTAAGAGTCTATTGACATACAGCCGTGACAAATTTTTTAGGAAGCCCTGTGTAATTATGTTTTATTTTCTGAATTTTCCTCTCTCAGTGAAATACATGAAGACATTGTCCTAAAGGCACAATGAGTAAGACTGTTGTCACAGTCAGTGACCTTGAAATGGCCCTTCAGTGAGTGCTGTTTTCAGATGCCTTGTTCCACTAATCGGACTTGCAAGATATTTGCGAATATGGGAGTTAAAAGAAAACACAAGGACACGGAAGAGACATGAGCCCACATCCTTGCTGCACTGACAACATTAAACTTTAGCCTCTCCAGTTTGGTTCTAGCCTGTGGCAAAGCAACTTGATTGAGGCCTTTGATGAGCATTAATACACCGTGGAGAGACGGCTTTGTTCGGGAATGGAAATGAACATAAAACGGAAAGCGGAAAAGGAAGGAGCGAGGCCCACAAGCTGATCTTATTTAATTTCACATAAAAGAGACATTCCATCTTCACGGAGCCTGTTTGGGCATCGCAGTCTACGAAAACCCAGACCGTCTCAACATACTGGGGGATGTGTTGAGCGTTTCTGAAACCAAAACAGGAGTCTGGGCTATTTTGAACACATCACATGTGGCACTTTTTAAAATACTTTTAAACACACCAAATTGGAATAACATTTCAGTGGCACTGGCCAAATCAGCATTGAGGACTGTTTAGAGCCACTACCTGGCATAATGACGGGCAGCCCTGCCCACAGGCAAACATCTGTAATTAGTATTGACCACATTCTCTGTCTTCTACAGTGTAAAGAATGAGCTAAGCTCTGCTCAAGTTTTCATCTTCGTGACATGCGAATATCTGCAGTGTATCTGACTGAATCAAAGACTCCCCTCCTTTCATATCCTATTACAACGTTTTCAGTGTGGAACAACAGTACTGCACCAGTGGTTGGATTCTTTGATGACTTTTTGACTCAAAGCAGTTCATGTATTTTCAGTGGTGGTAATGCAACATATTTGGAAAGTTAACAATTTTTTGTCAACTTCTCATCTATTGCATGTGTAAACTAAGAAGTAGACTTACACTTGTTTTTACAATTTTGTGTTTCTAACATTTATCACTGTGTAT